TCAAGGCTCCATCTTGGGGCCGCTTCTCTTAACATCTACATGCTACCACTGGCTCAGATAATGAAGAACAACAAAATAAGTTACCATAGCTATGCAGATGACACACAAATTTACGTAACAATTTCACCAGGAGACTATGCTCCAATTCAAACACTGAGTAAGTGCATTGAACAAATCAATGACTGGATGTGTCAGAACTTTCTCCAATTAAACAAAGATAAAACTGAGGGTAATGGTTTTTGGAGCCAAGGCAGAACGTATAAAAGTTAGCGCTGAGCTTCAGTGTGCAATGTTCAAAACACAGATAAAGCCAGAAATCTAGGTGTAGTCATGGACTCTGACCTGAGTTTCAACAGTCACATTAAAACAGTTACTAAATCAGCCTACTATCACCTAAAGAATATATCTAGGATTAAAAGACTAATGTCACAGCAGGATTTGGAAAAACTTGTCCATGCTTTTATCTTCAGTAGACTCGACTACTGCAATGGTGTCTTCACAGGTCTCACTAAAAAAATCTATTAGGAAGCTGCAGCTGATTCAGAACGCTGCTGCTCGAGTCCTCACTAACACTAAGAAAGTGGATCACATCACTCCTGTTCTGAAGTCTTTACACTGGCTTCCTGTGTGTCACAGAATAGATTTCAAAATACTGCTGCTGGTTTATAAAGCACTGAATGGTTTAGGCCCAAAATATATTTCTGACCTCCTGCTAAATTATGAACCATCCAGATCTCTCAGGTCTTCAGGGACTGGTCAGCTTTCTGTCCCCAGAGTCAGAACTAAACATGGTAAAGCAGCGTTCAGTTATTATGCTCCAAATATCTGGAACAAACTCCCAGAAACCTGCAGGTCCGCTGCAACTCTTAATACTTTTAAATCCAGGCTGAAGACTTTTCTTTTTGTCGCTGCTTTTAATTGAACTATTCATATCTTAGACTGCACTGTAACTTTTTATCCATGTACTTTTTCTTTTAATGTTTAATTGCCACTGTAACTTTTATCCATGTATTTTTTCTTTTAATGTTTATTTTATTAGCTTTTCTTTTAATGACTGATTTTAAAATGCCATTTTCTTAATCTCTTTCATTTTTGTAAGCACTTTGAATTGCCTTGTGTTGAAAAGTGCTATATAAATAAACTTGCCTTGCCTTGCCTTGCCTTTAGAAGGGAAGATATGGTCATTTGTTCTGGGAATGTCATTTTTGAGCCTGAGACCTGAAAAACAGGCTCAGGGTTTAACAGGATATCTGACTACACCAATGTTTTTCCTCTCACTTTGATGGTGGGCAAAGTGTGATTTGAATATTATGTGATTCTTGGTAGCTGTTATCAACATCATTCTGTGTTTCTCAGAAAAAAAAACGACACATTTTAATTCATCAAATGATGCATATTCATAGGTTTCATATAAATGGACAATAGCAAGTGAATTTTGGACATTTCTCACACAACAGCGTTTTTCCTATCACTTAAAACTGATCTATAATGCATTATACAATCATGTATTAAACATGCAAAAAGTAGTGTAAAGATACTCCTTAAACAACATTTAAAATCTGCATGAGGTCCTCTAACATAGCTGTTTAGTTATGTCAGCACATTAAATAAAGTTGTGTTGTGATTTAGTTGCAGAAATAATGTCCAACCACATTTTAAGATTCAGAGCATCCTGATAATGCACATTCCCCTTAACCATGTCCACACCCCTGCATCTTTCAACCTGAGGCTTTGTATCACATACCTCAAAGGAGGGAGCCTGACACCTGCTGACCAACTGTGAGCAGTACAACCACACTGAGGTCTGATCGCTCTGCTTCTTCAAAGTAAATGCATGAAACATTTGAAGTACACAAACAGCAACACCCAGGGACGCCGCCAGGGATTTTGGGCCCCATGAAGATATATCACATTGGGCCCCACCACCAGGCCCAGGCCCAGGCCACGCCAACCAAGCACAATGCTGTAACCACACCTCCAGAACCCAACTGACTAATTTATGCTTTAAATAACTCTACCTGTACAGGCTTGCATCTATCTTGTAGTCCAATACTAACTGCACAATATTTACTGACACTGAGCGGTGAAAATATAACACTGTGCAGACTGCAAATTCTACTGCAACATTCTGCTGCAGTATAATTCACTATTTGATAGAACACTAACATTCCTGACAATAGACCTCAATAGTAATCTTTTATGGTGTACATGCCTTTTTAATAACATTTTTGAATGGAACATTCAAAAATTAAAATAAATATAACTTAAATATACATGACCTCTTAAATGAAAATAAAGTGAACATTAACACCAATATCATCATTTATAAAATGCTATACTGTAACAAAAAAAATAACAAGCAGCAGATTTTTTAATTAAATATACATACCAACTACAAAATAAGCGGGTATTAAAGTGTAAACGGACAACAAAACGGAAATGGAAGTGAAAAGGCCTGATGGTGGTGCTAAATCAGAGCCTATTACCTGTTCTCAGTCTTTTTCTCATCGTGCATCTTGTGTGTAGTGATCCAATATCGTTACCATAGCCTTGCCCTTTAACAGTTATTACGAGGCATGGCTCAGCCTTACTCACCAAGAGCCCAGCGCCTAGCCTTCTTACAGGCAAAGTCACTGATCAAGTCCTTGAAGTCCAGCTTTCTAGCCAACTGGCTTTCAATGGACAGCATGGCAAGACTGCAAAGCCTTATGGGCCACAGGGCTGCAGAGCCTAAAGATGGATCTGTTGGTCCTGGCACGAGGGGAGGGACAACTGATTTAGTATGAATAACTGCTAAAAATGTACCTGCATTTATTAAATGTCAGCTAAAAGTGAAATGAAAAACCTCTGAATTTTCTGTGAAAATATTAACAGTACTTAATGTCAGCAAAACATTACAATTATTATTTACAATGGATTAAGCTTAGCTAACAAACTAATTTCCACCACTTATAGACCACACCCACCTTTTCTTTTGAAAAACTGGGTGAAATACTGTCGCCCTTTAGTCCCTCTCTCGTCTTTCTCTCCTTTCTTTTCTTTCTTGAAAGCCTGACTTTGTTAGTCATTGAGATATTGTTCACACGTAAGTACTAGCATCCCTCCTCACATGCTCTCACTCTGCTGCTAGAAAGTGCGGTGCCGCACAGCATTTGGAGGCAAGACCAAACCATTACATGTAAATAGATGGGGGTGTTCGATGCTTTGGATAATTAACTTTTGGAAGAAAATAAGTTAAATGAACCGTAAGTTTAGTGAGTACATTATCAATATGACGTTATATTAATGTTAATTATGTTACGAACTCAGACACTTAGGATGTAGGACCCAATTGCACGACCCGGGAGACAGAGGTAAAGTATTTGTAAGATACTTTATTTTCCAATACAGCAGTGAACAACAAAAAGGGTAACTATCAATCTCTAGCCGAGATGACAAAAATAGCGAACAAAAAATGAAAGCGCTCACGTAGTGAGGAATGAAACTTTTCACGAGCACAAGAAACATCGACCTGACCATAGCATAAGACAATCCGAACTGACAAAGAACACTGGGAGACAGGGGAATTTAAGCACAGGGTGACAAGACACAGGTGGGACCAATCAGGGGCGGGGCTGACACTGATGAGCACAGGAGACACAGGATGGATGACAGGTGCAAACAATCAAGAAGCCTGGAATGAGAGAAAGCAAACATAAACAACATGAACCTCTCTAGCATTTCTGTCGGTGCACAACAAATTATTGATGATTGATGAAAGGTTACTTAAACATTTTTTCTTAATGTTCTAAAAATATTTGGGGCCCCTGTCAGTCACGGGCCCTTAGAATCGTCCTAACTTTTCACCCCCTTACGGCACCCCTGGCAACACCATCACTGGTCCTGTTCCTCTCACTTGGTTAGGTGAGTGTTATCCTTGAGCTTCCTTTTTATGATAATCCACACAAATCTCTGAGTACAATCTGCACCCAAAACCCAACATGAAGCACTTGGTTTATGAAATAAAGTGCTTTTGGTATGGTTCCATAGATAAAAGAGGCCCTTAAAGCATGTCTAAAAATGTTACATGTTGTTATTATTCCCTTATGTGGTTGTAGGTTACCAGGGTCAAATTTGGCTCTGGGGTTGAGGGTTTGCTGTTTTTCTGAAGCATGATTATGCCTGATTTCCAAGACCATTAAAGAACACGTGGTTTCATGATCACCTATTATCTAGAAATTCAATTCGTTTTCTTGTAGTGGATTTCAATATTATTTCATTAGAGCAATGAGTTGCAGCTCAACTGTCTGTCAGGTCCCCATGATCGAGTTTGTTTTTCCATCTGCAATGTTTGTGCTGTTAACATTTTGTTACAGTGAGAAAAGAGAACATATATAAAATATGCTAAATTGTGTGTGTGTGTCTTCACTTTCTCAAAGAACTAGTCAGATATTGTATACATTTTTACAGCAATGGTTAACAATTTGTGTCAGATTAAGCCTAATCTGATTTTAGATTTAGGTCATTAGTTAAAGAATTAGGAAGATTGACGTATTTAGCGGAAGTTCTACCAATGGTAATTAAATGGGGAATTGAACATGTGACGTTTTGCAGCAAAGAACAAACCTCTTACTTCATAAAACAAAGCAACCAATCTATGTTAAACTAATGTATCTAATTCTGGTTTTAATACATAATAGGCCTTTCCATGCCTCATAATTCTATATTTGCAGAATTTAGTTTTAGAAAACTATTATTGGAAGGACAAAAGCATTAAAAGGCTGAGCTTCCAAGTAATTCAAATTATAGCTATGCCAGTTTACCCTATTTCTTATATTACATTGATGATTTGTGATTAAGTAAATATTTATATCAATGTTAATTCATACAAAATCACCTACAAAATCTGAGGGGATGAGCGAGTACTCTACTGTAGAGAACTGGACACGAACAACAATCACTAATCTCCAATAAACCATTGATCAGTATGAGCCAGTCCCTTCAGCGCGTGCACGTTCAAAGCGCCTGACCGCGCTCCCCTCACAGTGAACGCGCAGCGGGTCGCCGCCTCATAACTGGTTGTCAGAGTACAGACCGTACAGACATGGCCGCTCTCAGTAAATTACCACACAGCTGCTACGAGATCGGGCATACCTGGGACCCTTCGTGTGTGCAGTCTGCATTGGATGTAGCAAGAGGTGCTTTGGAGGTGTCCTTCAAAATATACGCCCCTCTTTACCTGGTAAGTTTTGCTGTTTTGCCTGCAAAACGTTGACTCTGAAGCTAAAGTTAGCTAGCTAACGAAGTAGGGCTCTACTGTAGTTATGAGAAAACATCGTAAAGACTAGCTTGAACTTCGCTCGTTTGCACTTGAGGACTGAGGTCAAGTTCCTGCATATGCACATACTGGGCGATAGAGCAAATACATTGCACGGACTACGTTGTCCTTAGAAAACACACCATCTCATGAGTGACAGACAGGCAAATGAACAGTAACGATAGTCAAGTACAAAACACCCTGTGATAAGTTAAAGCCGTTGTTGTTGCTCCAGTGTTTGGTCCATTGCAAGCATCATACACACCATTATCAGCTGCAAAGGGAAAGTGTTATTCAATTGCATAACATTTTAAAAAGTTTTCTCAAATCTCATGCAACTATCCAAATGTGAACACCATCAACAGTGAGTGCCACTCTTCTCTAATTATTACAGATAGCAGCAGTGCTAAGGAGAAGGAAGAAGGATTACTATTTAAAAAGGCTTCTCCCAGAGATCCTGTGGTCTACCTCTTTCCTCTCTGCCAATGGAGGGCTCTACATTGTTTTCTTCTGCATTCTCAGGTCAGTATTCAAAAATATGTCCCACAGATACACACAGCCTACAAATCAGGTGAATGTGTGTTTTTTTTAATGGTTATTTTTTTTTATCTCAGTGTAGTTTTGAATGGTTATTCATTATATCATAGTGTTGTTTTCAGAGTTTAGTTTGCCCTTTGCCTCTTGTAAAGATGAGATAAGATAAGCGTTTATTGATCCCACAACGTAACATTTAAGCTTAAAGTTCTGCACATATAATGCCATTACTAAAATACACTTGCCAAATACTGACAGTTATTTTAAATATGCCATTTAAATCACATTTCCCCTTTTGTTATAGTTTGAGTTTCTCCTTTCTTATAAAAGACCTGTATTTTGGATCCTGTAGTATTTTTTACTACTGCACTTTTAGTGTACAGTTTTGCTGCTGTGTTTTTTGTATTTATTGTATTTTGTTACTCTGGCACAACAATTTCCTTCGGGATGAATAAAGTCTTATCTTATCTTATCTTTTACTTTTATTATCAAGAATATTTTATATTGTTTTGTTTATATTGTTTATTTGTTATAATATTTTTCATTTGACTTTTAATTGTTAATTCTCTTTTCCATTTGTTCAAGTATTGTACACACTTCTGCTTCTGTGACGACAGAATTTCCCAAATTGGGATCAACAAAGTATCTATCTATCTATCTATCTATCTATCTATCTATCTATCTATCTATCTATCTATCTATCTATCTATCTATCTATCTTGATCTAAAAAGGTTAAAGAAAGATTTGGCCAAACAATTGCTTCTTTAAAGATAACCTGTTGTGACAGCGTTACAGAGTCCACTCTACAGTAAAAAAATATTGAAATATAGTTGTGTTTATTTCCAACTTAAGGAAACTGCTTGGAGGGTTCTACCCCTGGTCTGCCGGGTTTGGCTCGGCGCTGCCTGCCTCCTATATCGCCATCCTCCTGGAGCGCAAGAAAAGGTAAGAGACTTAAACAAAGTTAATGGATGCATCTCAAGTATCAGACATGGCCCTGTGAGTATTAGTTATGTTAACTGACTATTAATGTGTCTCTCCAATTCCTCCCCCCACCAGGAGAGGGATGCTGACAATATACATGACAAATATTGTAAGAGATACTCTGTACCTTTAACAATTATTTTACATAATTTATATAAAAATACATTTCTGTCTTCTGTCTTCTGTGACAATGTCATCTTGTTTTTAGGCCACTGAGACTTTGTTCCGTATGGCAGTGACACGAGGGATCGTTAAACCCATCAAGCACGGCGAGGTAAGACAGCAAGGGGGATAGATAGAGCTTTATATGGGGGCTTTGTGACTTAATAAGTGTAGAGTATTAAAACAAATGCTTGGTGGGCACCAAAGGGCATTACCTTAAAACATTAAAGGGGTGCTTTACATTTTTAGCAGTTTACTGTTCTAAATGTTAAATGACCCCAGCTCAGAATACATACATAACGTATCACCTTGTGCCCACTTGATTAAATAGAGAGCCATTTTATTTATTTACCCTTCATAGTTGTGAAATAAGTCCCATGACCCGATGCTAACCAGGGCCCAGGAGTTCAAAACTTTGAATCCCTATCTGATCAGATCAGATTTGGATTTTGGGGAGTTCAAAACCAAAAAAACAGGATTAGGATCACTTTGATATCCGATCAGATCAGGAAATCCAATCCAAGCTTTAATCTGGATCAAATCTTCAAAACGGGTAGTTCAAACCGACAACACAGGATTGGGATCAGTTTGATCCCAAAAAACTGGATTATCCTGATCCCACCAGAGGGGTGGATTACCAGAGCAAAATGTACTGTACCATTTATTTAAAAATATGTTTCAATATAAATTAGATGGCAAAGTTTGTTAACTGAAATAATACACAATGTTTAGCCTTCATGGCAAATCAATTTTATTTTTCATTTTTTGCTCACGTTTGTGGTGGCCTATTTTGTTTTCAACCAAATGTTGATGACATAAATGTTTATGCTCATAAAAGTATCACAACAAAGATTGTCAATCACAAATGTAATTTAGATTAAAGAAAAAATATCTTCAACAAAAAAAAAGTCCATCATCTGTCATCACCTTTCAAATAAAAAAATATAATTAGACATTATAGATGTCTCTGCAATGTGGTCTCTTGTCTTGCTTGTATTATTTTTCATGTCCACTAGATGGCGATCGGTAGGATTAAAGCACTGATATTCAGTGCTTCAAGTCATCTTGAAAAATCGTAATCTGGATCAGGGTGATCCTATCCTGAATTGCTTTGAACTCCAGGGACAACATTTGGCCGACTTGTCTGATCCTGGATCACAACAAATGGGATTTCAAAATCTGATCTGATCAGATAGAGATTAAAAGTTTTGAACTCCTGGGCCCAGAAGACCTGGATGATCTCTTTCCGTCTGCGTTTCCCCTTAGGTGCTTTTGTTCTGCATAACGGCATCTCTCTACACGTTCCTCTTCAGGTCAGACACCTAAAGTGAAATGTGAAACATTAGTTAATTAGGTACTAAAAACAAAGGTGTTTAAATTACATTTTGTGTTTATGCTACAGGAGGAAAGATGGTCTCAAGGGGTTTGCCTTCTCTGCATTAAAGTAAGTCATCTCTGTTTGTGATGTCTTGATTCAGATTGACTGAGTTATTTGGTAAAGCTCACAAAGTTTAAGTGTGCATTCCCTGTGACAGGTTCATCATCGGGAAAGAAGAGATTCCAACTCACTCTGTAGCGTCAGAACAGATCAGACCCCTCGAGAGGACAGCTGCTATAGAGACTGAGCCTTCACAGGCGTCAGCAGAAAGACCCGACTCCAGCAGGAAAACTCTGCTAGCCTACACCAGGGAGCTGATAGAATCAATGTGAGAGGATACACAACTTTTACTCTGACACAAAGGTTTCAAATGTAAATTACTGACTTTTGTTTTTAACAATCCAGATGCAAAAAGGGTCCAAGACACAGATGTTGCAAACATTACCAAGACAACTGCATTTCCTACTGTGTGAAAGTAAGACACTTCAGTTATGATTATGGTTTTATTGCACACCCATACATAATAATAATAATAATACAATATTTATTACTTTTTCTCTTTTTTCATCGTCCAGGGATTTGTCAGGATGTTCAGTGTTGGCTACCTGATTCAGTGTTGTCTTAAGGTGCCTTCAGCGTTCAGACACATGTTTACTAAACCCTCACGCCTCCCGTCACTCTTCTACAACAAGGAGAACTTCCAGCTAGGGGCCTTTCTAGGATCCTTCGTCAGCATCTACAAGGTACATTTCATCCTGGTGGTTTTTTCTGTGAGAGCTTCTTTTGTTTCATTTACCTTCATGTTGTGCAATTCTTGCTTTTAGGTTAACAATACAAACGGAGGCATCATCTCCTTTTAGAAATATTTGATTGCTAATCTCTGATTTCTGTCTCTCATATCCTCACACACATAGTTCTTACATTTCAACCTTTTCCCTTTCTCAGCATGTCTTGTGTTGTCATATAAACAACCCCCCTTGCCCTCCAACAGTCCAAAGTCCCATTACCCCGTCAGCTACCAATACTGGTACAATGTAGATATGTTGGGAACACTGTGTTTTTTCTAATCAGGGAACAAGCTGCTTGCTGCGCTGGCTGCGCAACATTGATGATGAACTCCATGCACTGATAGCTGGTGAGACATTATGGTGTAAACTGTTCAAAAATATTATCGTAGAGTAATCTTCCTAAAGATTGTCTCATCTTATATTATCTGACAATTTATCTTTTTCTGTACCCCATCTTTCAAGGCTTCCTGGCTGGTACCTCGATGTTCTTCTACAAGAGCACGTCGATATCCATGTATCTCTTCTCAAAGCTGGTGGAGGTAAAATAATATCTCAAGTGACAGTAAAAAGATAAATAACATTTTTGAGAACCAATAATTGAAAATATAGACTAACAGTATCTTCTAAATATCATAGCAAATAGTTTCTCAAATAATAAATAAACAGGAAACAATTATCAATGTACAGGTTTATTGATAACTTCCCTTATTTCATGTATGTCAGCTATAGTTTAGTTTTGCACTTTGCAAAAATACATTTACTTGTAAACAACTAAACGGACGCTGGTCGGTTTCCTGCAAGGGAATCTATGGGATCAAATAACATAATCATGATCCTTTAGGCCTTAGTGAAACTAAGCAAAGTAAACTATGGGAGGGGGTTCCTTTTTCCAACTTTGTCTGAGGGGAAGTCTACAGTCTTATACTATAAAGCCCCTGTATAAATGTTAATGACATGGTAGTTAACATAAGGCCAGATAAGCATTTAATAAAATGTTACTTTATGCGTCTGCCTATCTGAAAATGTATCTGCATTGGACCGGTGAACATTAACAGCACATGCTTTCATTTCTGCTTTTAGACCCTTTACTTTAAGGGCATCGAGTCCGGACGGTTCCCTTACTTTCCTCATGCAGACACGGTCATCTATGCCATCTCCACGGCAATCTGTTTCCAAGCTGTAAGTGACACAAACAACAACCCACAGACCTGCTCACAGAGGTATTATTTAATTTTTGTTTTGTCTGCTGAGTAATGGATTAATGCATGACTTGTTACTTTTATACAGGCTGTGATGGAAGTGCAGAACCTTAGGCCTACATACTGGAAGTTCCTGGTGCGTTTGACTAAGGGCAGGTAAGAGTACAGCGGTCAAACTATGCTTTAACAATCTTATCATCGTTTTTCTGTCCATGTTAAGTTTAATCTGTCTGTCTCCTTTCCTAGATTTGCTCTGATGAACCGGCATTTGCTAGATGTGTTTGGGACTCAAGCCTCCAGGGACTTTAAAGGCTTTGTGCCCAAGCTGGACCCTCGTTTCACCACAGTGCTTCCACCAGGAGCCGACATCCAACTGGGCTGACCTGGGATCAGGCTGTGGGAGGGGATGTTAGGGGTTACCTCAATGGACAGTGTGGCTGTTATTTCTGAGTAACTGAGAAAGGTGTTAAGGTGTTATAACAGCTCAGGAGTTGTGAAGTCGTGTTATTAGATGGGGAAATGCTTTAGAAGATGTCGGGCCCTAGATGTGTCCAAAGCAGGACGTCATGAGTGTCGAGCATGATGCTGCACACGTTCACAGCCTGGGGTTGTGTGAAACAGGTGACTTGCAAAATATATATGAAACATTTTTACACTTAAAAACCCTTTACACTACAAGATACATATTAAAGGTCCCCTATTATACAGTTTTTCATCAATATATTATAGGTCTCAGATATATACAAACATGTCTCAGAAGTGTTTGGCTCGAAATACCAAACAGATCATTGTAGCATCCCATAATCCCCTCTGTTTCAAAAGTGCTGATTCTGGGTCAGTTATGACGCGTTTCCACTGCAGCGGGTAGCTCGCTTTAAGCGTGCCGAGCCGTGCGGGGCCCGTTTTTGGTTGCGTTTCCACTTGGCCTAGTTTTGGCCCGGGGCTACTTTTTCACCTTTTTTCTGGCCCGACTAAATCGTGGTTCTAGAGCCAGGAACAACCAGGCTGAGTCGGGCTGAGTATGCTAAACTAGAGAGAATCGCTGGCAAGGGGGCTACAACTACAACAAGATGAACATATTTGACCGTGATTTAATTGTAATACACGTTTCAAAATGATGCCGAAGTAACAACATACTGATACCGGTTAGTAAAAACCATGAATTAATGCTTTGACAAGTCTGCAGACAGACGGCAGGCGAAAAACCCTTTTAAAATGCGTGTTTTCTAAATGGAGCTTGGCTAAGCTAACGTTATATATGCTCTGACCGTCCACACTCACAACAACGGCCTATACAGACATAAATAAACCAGCGACTGTATTCGCCACGACACAGGCAGTCTGTGGTTTGTACTTGTTTAACTTTTGTCAAGTTTCTGAACAGATATGAGGAGCTGTGTGCTCTGAGTGCTAAGAGCTAACGACTGTGTTGTTTTTCTGGGGCTCTCATTGAAGATGACGTCACGGCTCCGCCTACACTGCGTTACTATAGTAACTACCCCAGTTCCTAAACTGTAATGGAAGCGCAGCATTAAAGTGAGCCGGGCCTAATAAGGCCTAACCAAACCGAGCGAGGCCTGCAGTGGAAACGCGCCATTACTTTAGAGGAAAATCAGGAGCCCCTCCCCACGCCCCTCTGAGAGATATTTGGTTAAAAAGAACACAATGGTGCTCTAGGAGGAGATTCAGGTGATAAGGTGGGGGGGTGTTACCTTGGTTGGTGATTGGCTAATGGTTACACAACCCAAAAAATCGTTATGACATCATAAAGTGAGCAAAATCTGATCAGCTCATTTTCAGACAGGTTTTTATATATAAATGGATCGGGACAAAAAGAGAGAGAATCTTTTTTCCTGAAACTCTCAGAATCTCTTTACACAGAGGGGACACATGTTTATGTAGAAAAGACATGATATGCATAATAGGTGACCTTTAATAATAATAAAGCAATTGAAACATTTTACATTTAATTGTAATACTAAACTGTTCTGCAGGTTATAGATGGTAATAGTAAGGTATCAACCTTATATGGTGTGTTTACCAAAACCACAGATAACCAAAAACATGGTTTATTGTAAAAGATGAATTCAATTTGGCTTCAACAGCATTCCTTTGGTCCAAATGTTTCTTAATTTTGCAAGTCACCTTTTAAGTTTTATTGACTGAACTCTGGTTACCTGTCTGATTGCTTTCAGGACAGGGCGAAAATCACCAACTAATCTTTTTTGAAATAGGCACCGTGATACCTGATTTAAGAGGGGAAAGAGTTTGTAATCATAACTGATCATTTCTAAATGTGCACCTTTTAATGGGTTCAATTGATTATGTATTATTGTGTAGCCTTATCAAATATTATATTCTATAGTATACAAAGAGAGATGTATTTAGATTGTGTTCTATGATTTGAAACAAAAAGGTGGAAAATCACCATTTTTAACCAGTTACTTAAATTGATCTTGTTTTTGGTGATTTTTTTAAAAATTTCAATTTTTTTTTTCTTTCAAATGTCATTCTTGAGTGTTAAATGAGTTAAATGAAGCAGCAAGGACCTTGGAAAAGTTGGATATTACATTTATGGAGAATATTTTGAAACCTGTGGTTAGGTTGTATAAAAATAAACGAATTAAGAAATAACCATTCATTTCATCTTAAAGGCATATACATTGGAAGTGAATGGCAATACACTTCTATATTTGCTTTAATTAAAACAAATCTTAAATAGGCCAATACTTTGTAATGTGATAAATTGCTTTGCAGGGGAGACTTATTTTATAGATTCATAATTCCTCAAGCCTCATGTAATAACATTAGCAAATTATTATTCAAAAAATCATCACCAAAGTCAACCTGATCCTTTTTTATTTCATTTTCTGCTGGTGTTTGGGTAAGAACAGTCTGATCTATATGACTGAATATTTAATATTCACTAATACAGACCAAACACAGAATCAAACTGGTTCAAATGAATGATTTAGTGGTTTCATATGAGCTTATAAAAGATCTATTAAAAATGCAGTTGGCTGTTTGCATTTAAATTAATACTCACTGTCAGCTTCAAGGTGAACCCAATAGCTTAACTTCCACTTTGATTAAAAAATGGTTAACTTAGGAATTTGGAGCCACATTGAAGTGTTTGTATGAAAGTACAGTAAGGAATCTGTTTCTGTGAATAAAAAGCACAGAGCTCAAATCTGCTTTGGTTCTGATTTTTGTTGCTGAAAGATGAGGATATTTGAAAAAAACAAGTGTTGAGTTTTAAACATTTCATGTTATCTGGAAAGTATGCATTAACATTTTTAATAAGTGATAAATAGTCCAAGTTGTTCTGCAGAAAATGCCATGGTAGAGACAGTGGATATTTTTGGAGTTCATGTTATCTATGCTCATCTCAAATGACACTGCAATAACACAAGCCATGATTTACAAAGTACAGTGAAAAATGCATGATTAATGATATTTAGGACTGTACTTATGTTGTACGGAATTATAATTAAACTCATAACACATTTTTATGAATTATTTTGTATACATTTAAATATTCTTTATTTTTAATCCTTGTTAGTTTTGTCATATTTTTGGATCACATGATATGGAAAATGTTGGTGTATATTTATAGCTGTATGACTGGGAAATGCATAGGGGAAAGCTGCGGTTTATCAGTACAGTCAGATATTATTCATGAAGTCTGTGGATGCCACTTTATTTTGAAAGATCAGGACGGGAAGTCGTCAGTTCCGTCACATGAACACCACCAGTGTCTTTCCGCTCTGTACCATTGGATACGTTTAACATTAATGCGTATCAATGGGGGGTAAGAATAAACAACGAACCAAAGGAAATGTCCGGGTAAGTACCAATGTCTGTATAGTACTGTATTGTCTGCCCTTAGCTAACGTTACAGTGTTAAAGTGAGATTGCTAGCAGCCAACACGAGCACAAGCTAATGTAAACTTCACGTTCACAGCTAGTTTAGGCTACGTGTGTCCCAGCTGTTTTACGGCCACCACGTTTTCTTCTAGCTAATGTTTAATGAGATGATTAATGTTCTATACCCCCATACCCCACTGCCTTTACTAGCCGTCCAGTAGCGGCCGAGCTGCGGAGGCACTTACCCGGGAGGGAGGCGTCATCCCGGGCTTTGTGGGCTTCGACACGACGGTCAACTCGGAGCTGAGTTATGTCCCCGCTGTCCACGGGGCGGAGGAGATAGACAACCTGGTGGATGCAGATTTCCGCCTGGTGCTCAGGAAACTGTCAAAGAGGGATGTTGTTACCAGACTGAAAGTGAGTTTAAACTGTTACTAACTTTCTGGTCTCATATAACATCCATTTCAGTTTATAGAATTCTACAACATACCACTTTATGTAACTTAAAACACAGTACACACACGTTGAAAACACTCCTTGGGATATCACTTCAGGGGCTTGTTGGTCCAGGTGTGTGTCTTAAAGGTCCCCTAATATACTGTTTTTCATCAATATATTTTAGATCTCATATACAAAACATGTCTCTGAAGTGTTTGGCTCCAAATACCAAACAGATAATTGTAGCATCCCATAATCCCTTCTGTTTCAGCCCTGTTTCTAAAGTGCTGATTCTCTGTCTGTTACTTTAGATGAAAATAAGGAGCCCCTCCCCACGCCCCTCTGAGAGATATTTGGTTAAAAATAACTCAATGGTGCTCTAGGAGGAGATTCAGGTGATAAGGTTAGGGTTAGGGTGTTACCTTGGTTGGTGATTGGCTAATGGTTACACAAGCCGAAAAATCGTTATGACATTTTCAGAAAGGATTTTATATAAATGGATCAGGACAAAAAGTGAGCGAATCTTTTTTTCCTGAAACTTTCAGAATGTCTTTACACAAAGGGGACACATGTTTATGTATACAATACATGAAAAGGTGGATTTTGCATAATAGGTGACCTTTAATGCTTTATGCTTACCTCAGGCTGTGCAGGACTTTGGATCCATGTGCCAGGAACGGGATGCTGAAGAGGTGAAAGGCGTCCTGCCGTACTGGCCGAGGATTTACTGCAAGATATCAGTGGTGAGATGGTCCTTCAACACACATTCATAAAATATCCCTTTCTGTATCATTGGCAAATCATTTTTCACATTCTGGAAACGATGCAGGTTTAACGCAAAACTAAGCACTCAAGCTACTATTATACATTTTGATCAATGAAATCCGTCCTGCCATTGAAGGCATCCCATTTCAAATGATTGGGAATAACTCAGGCCGGATGGAAGCACACTCAAACTACAGATTTCATTTTAATGAGACTTTAATTTGTGCAAGTGTTCGGGGTGTGTACATTAGGATAATTTGGTCTTGATCGTCATGTCTATCAGGACCATGATCGGCGGATCAGGGAGGCCACCCAGCAGGCCTTTGAGCAGCTGGTGCTGAAAGTGCGCCGCAGCTTGGCCCCCTTTCTGAAGAGCTTGATGGGCCACTGGATCCTGTCCCAGTGTGACACTTACACACCTGCAGCCTCTGCGGCGTGCCAGGCCTTCCAGGCTGCGTTCTCCCCCAGCAAACAGCCCGAGGCTCTCAGCTTCTGCAAGGATGAGATGCTAAACGTGAGTAGTGGTTGTAGGGGGAACGAGGGGTTTTGTAATCTAATGAACTGAAATTAACGTAATAAGGTTATTCTTGTATTACAGGTACTTCAAGATGTTTTGTTAAAGGAAACGGCAGACACGCTGAGCGATCCACAGTAAGTTTAGCTCATTATTTTCTTTATGTTATATTCTCCATTTGTCTCAATTATGTTGGCACAATGATAATAAATGGACAAATTATTATTATTTACTGAGGCACTGGTTCCTTTTGTTCTCCAGAAGTGTGACAGAGGAGGAGAGAGAAGGCAAATATGTGCGCATGCTGACCAGCTCTCTGTTGGGGGTG